GCGATTAGTGTAAAGTAAAAATCTTTATGTTTTGCATCAATGGCTGTTGAATCTTGTGTGATGCTTTTTTCATCTTTTCTGATCATATGGTTTTTATTGTACCTATAAGTATGATGAATTCCATGATTTACAAAACAGGCTTGCATTCCTGAGATGAGCCCCACTTGATTATGATACATTATGCTTTAGACAGATTAATAATCCATCACAGCTTTTATGTCTGTGAGAAATTGGTCTATATTTTTCTTGTGATATTTTGCCTGGCTGCTATAATAGGGTAATCAGAGCCACATAGGATGAGTTGGGAGCTTGTTGAATGAGTTCTCTCCTCATCCATTTTCTGGAAGTCAATGTGTAATGTTGTTGTTATTTCTTTCCTTAAATATTTGCTAGCATTCACCATGAAATCAAAAGCACCTAGTATTGGAAGATGTGGTATAGTTGTTAGCTTGTTATTCAGATACCCCCATGGCCATGGTATAAGCTTTTTACTGATGCAGCAATTTGCTCCTGAAGGGTACAAAACAGTTCTTCAAAATTTTCCAAATCTGATGTTAACAGTGGGCCAAAACATTTTAATGTAATCATTGCTAGATTCAAGTGTGTTAAGTAGTGTAACTGTGAACTTATTTTACTGAGTTATTTATTTATGATCAAGGGCTAGAGGAAAGTGGGTAAGACCATTGTTTCCACATTCTTTCTTTTTTTTTTTTTTCTTCCTTTATCTGGGGGGAGGAGGTAGATAAAGGGAGAAGTCACACCTAGCCTCCCAACCATCGCAGGATCCCCGATGTGGGGCATGCTCCAAGGGCACTGCTCGAGTGGTTTTGACAGTTCAGCAATTCTGAATTGCCGTCGATCTCACCACTCCTAGCATGATGAAATCTCTCTAGAATCTACTGGCTGACATGGTCCACCTTAGAGTGTCCATTTGCCTAGATTTTCACTGCCAACTCTTGGCTGGGGCAGATGACCAAAAGCAATCAGTTGTAAGGAATTCTGGACTTTAATTTTTTGTTTTTAAAGAAGTGGAGAGAGGGAGGGAAGGAGAGAAAGAGAGAGTTAATTCCTCTCCCCAAATACCTGAAACAGTAAGGAAGTGGGAACTCAGTGCAGGTCTTAAGGCTGAATGGAAGGAAGGCAGTTATTGGCCATCACCCCTGCCTCCTGGGATGTACACTGGCAGGAAGCTGGAGTCAGGAGCTGGAGGGGCATTGAACCACAGGCACTTGGGTTTTAAGAAGCAAGCATCCTGACATCTCAGCTGCTAAACGGGGCATCCAAACTGTCAAGCCTGATGGAACTTGCAAATCCTCAGTGACAGTGGATCCCAGACAAGGAACTTCCGCCTCTGTAGGCTTCCTCCTGTCCCACAGCCCAGCTGCCTCCTCATCAGCTTGCTTCTTGCTCATATCCTTCCTGTCCCATCTTCTTTTTTTTTTTAAGATTCATTTATTCATTTATATTACAAAGTCACATATACAGAGAGAAGGAAAGACAGAGGAAGATCTTCCGTCCAATGATTCACTCCCCAAGTGACCGCAATGACCGGTGCTGTGCCGATCCAAAGCCAGGAGCCAGGAACTTCTTCCGGGTCTCCCACACAGGTGCAGGGTCCCAAGGCTTTGGGCCGCCCTCGACTGCTTTCCCAGGCCACAAGCAGGGAGCTGGATAGGAAGTGGAGCTGCCGGGAATAGAACTGGTGCCCATATGGGATCCTGGCGCATTCAAGGCAAGGACTTTAGCCACTAGGCCACTACGCCAGGCCCCGTCCCATCTTCTAAGCAACCTTCCTGGGGTAAAGAAGTCCAGTGTGTGTGCACTGTCCTGACTACAACCAGTTTGAGAGAAGGTGGCCTTTTTTTTTTTTTTCGTTTAATAAAACCATTGTGTTTTGTGAAAGTTTTATTTTTCTCTTAAAACTGATTTGAGGATATCTCTCTAGAATGTCCTACTCGCTCCGTTTCCACTCTTTCCCCATGAACAGTGATATGCTGATTTTTTTTTTTTTAGCATATCCAGGGAACAAAATCAGTAAAGTATATTTGGATGGTGTAGAATCAGAAGATAAATGACTTCTTAACAGCACCAGCTGCCTCTGCCCCGCCCAGGAGCAGATGTACGAAGTTCAGCCCTTTTTTCTCCCCCCCCCTTTTTTCCACTGCATCTCTGCTTCTGGGTTTACACCAGGGTCCTTTCCTACTGCTCTCGTGTGACCACAAAAGAATCCAAATTCAATCTCAAAGTTAATTATTAAACATGTTCAGTGGTACCGATTTTCTAAAGCTCTGCTGAGCACCCAGCCCTTACCTGTCACTTGAAAACTTGGACAAGAAAAAAAATATATATGAAGAGACATGGAAATGGTAGCATGTAATGCCGATAAAATAAGCTCTTTACCTTTGGCTCAAGGCTTTTTGTAGTAAGCCAATGGTGAGGAAGTTAAAGGACTAGCAGCAACAGGAGGAGCTAAAACAGGTGAGGGGCTGTGCCAAGCTGAGTCAGAGCAACTGGCATGCATGCAATCTATGGCTGAGAACAGGCACGGATGGGGAGCTAAGGTGACACCCTAGCTGGGTTGAGGTTCCCACCAAGGAGCACAGGGCTGGAATGGGGGCTACATTCTGATCAGGATACGGTTGTAATCTCACTTAGCACAAGTGTGGACTGGGACTGGACACACCAAGCCGGGCTAGACTCCAACACCATCTGGTGCTCTGGAAGACCAGGGTAAATGTGGGGCGGACCAGGATAGGTCTCAGCCCCTACTGAGCCATGTGTAAGCTGTATGTGGGTATGGACGAGCTGTGGCTGGGCTGAAATATCCAACAGTAAGAACCAGTCAGGAAAAGCCACTGTTCCTGCTAGGACAGGAGGTGAACTGAGTAGGGCTGGCTCATGGACCCCCTGGTATGCACAAAATCTGCCATTGGGAGAGGTTCTGATGGAGGAGCCTGGGCAACTCCTCTGTCAGGACACAGACCTGGCAGGTAAGATCAAGAAGCATGAAAGGAAACAGCCCAGAACAGGCCATGGAAAGTTTCCCACTGGCATACATTTGGCATGGGTCGGGGACAGACCAGACTGAATCAGTTCACACCATCCACTGGCGAATCCGAGCACCAGAACAGAGTGTGGGTCGAGCCAGGTTCGGTCATAAAAAAAAAACACAGTATACACTACGGAATGCCAAAGTGAGGTTGCCTGTACCGGATGTGACTGCAGCACCCAACCAGCACACGTGAGAACCAGGAAGGGAGGGGCGGAGCTGGCAGGGGGAATATGAGGGTGATCCCCTGCTGGACAGCTACTCCCGCTGGAGAGCATGAGCTGGGATGGGTGCAGATCAGACTAGGCAGGGCTACAACACCTGTGGGCCTCATGTGGAATAGATCAGGGAAAAGCCAGGCTGGGCTGATTGTTCCTACTGGTGCAAACAAAAATTAGAGTGGGTGAGGGTTGATTGGGCTTAGTCATAGCATCAGATGGCAGAAGCTGGCACTAGGGGCTAGTTCTGTCAAGTTAAACTCCAGAACCACCTGGAAAGTGCATAATCCGGGAGTGGGAGTGGCCTAGAAGGGAAATAGTGGGCTCCTCCCTCTTGGGTTACCACTTCCACGGGAGGGCACGAAAACCAGGATAGGGGCTAGGGTGGCTAGACAGTAAGGCACCCAGCAACATCTGTGTGTGCTAGATAGTGGAGCTGGTTAGATGGAACTAGGCTTCAATGCCCATTGACATGTATGAGAGCTGAATGGGATGTGAGACAGACTGGTCTAGTCTGCTGCAAATACTGGCAAACCAGGGTAAGGGGTGGGCCTGGTGGGGGTTATTGTGGGTCGCTCCGACTAGGCTGCAGCTTCCACTGGTTTATGTGAGGACCGAGTATGTGCTGGGCAGAACCAGGCTGGACTGCAACACCCATTGGTTCCAGTAGAAGACAGCGCTGGAAACAGAACCAACCCAGCAATTGCAACCACCAGCTGATTGGGGTAATGGACTGTGCCAGGCCCTGTACTTGCTTGTACACATAAGAATCTGGTCTGGGAACACCTCAGACAAAGTTTCTTTTGGTTTCTCCCCAATCGAACTGCCGGACTCAGATCCCTAACCATGAAAAGACAGAGGACAGAACAAGTCAATCAACCACCTCAGCTATATGTTGGCAGTGAAAAACTGGGCAAACGGAGAGTCTAAGATGGACTATGTCAATTAGTGGATTCTTCAGCAACCTCATCGTCCTTGGAGTGGCGAGATTAGCAGCAATTCATAACTGTTGAACTATCAAAGCCACTTGAGCAGGACACTCAGAGACTTGGGGTGGGTGGGAAATTGGGTTGGGCTTTTCCCTTAAAACCCCCTTTACCTCAGATACATGAAGGAAACAATGTGGAAATAATAGTCTTAACCACCTTCCTGTAGCCCTTGAACCTTTTTACCCTAATTAACTGTAAAGATTGCCAAAAATATAATTTTAAAAAATGGAAAGAGTTAAAAAAAAAAACCAAACTGCACCAAACTGCATGTCATAGTCTTCATGGGGGAAGAAGTGAAAAGAAGTGCACAACCCATGAGTTGCGAGCAGCAGTCCCTGCGACTGTGTGTACCCAGTGGAACAGTGCAGCGACCTGGGCAGCACAAACCACAGTGGGTAACAGTACGTGTCGGAGGCCTGGGAACTAAAGTGTACACCCGAAGGCCAGCTTGGAAAAGGAGACGTCATGGGTGACTTTCTCTTTCCAAAACTTGCTTGAATGCTGTCATGTTGTTGAAAGATGAGCGCCACAGGAGGGCACGTCCTGCGACGTTTCACAGGAGTCGGCGTCTCCAAACGTCCAGGAAGGAAAGCCGTTCTTTGACCTCCTCACGTGAGCACAAGCGCTGTCTGTGTCTGCCTGTACTCTCACACTGTGAGGAAGGAGGGTTTCCAGGCAAGGCCAGCCCCTTCACGGGAATGGGTCTCGGGTGTCCCCCTGGTGACCTGTGCCGTTCCCTTGCAGGAGCTCAGCGAGATGCTGTACACAGACCGGCCTGACTGGCAGAGCGTGATGCAGTACGTGGCCCAGATCTACAAGTACTTTGAGACCTAAACGCAGAGGGGCCAAGAGCTGCGGGCACCTGCAGTTTGTCCTGGAAGCACTTGTCATCGTCCACCGACCCCACTCTTTCCACCACCCCACAGGCTGGATCTCCAAGGAAAGCTCACGCCTGGTGGACCAACATGCAAATAAGAAACAGAGCTGGGCTCTGCTGCGTAGCCAGGTCAAATGCAAACGTGACTGGAGTGTAGGTTGGGGAATCCGGGCTCTGCAGTGGGATGCTTCTGAGGAGTGTGGCCTTCCTCCACCCACACCAAGATCCTCGGTCCCGGCTTCGCTCCGCTTCCTTCACCAGTCCTGCCTGCTGACCTCACACAAACCCGCACAGCATCCCTGACAGCACCTCCAAATCAGGCTTGCTGTTTGTTTCCTAACAGCCCTGGCTCTCGTTTTTTTAAGAACGTTGCCTTTCCCAGTCCTCCCTCCCTTTCTTCCCCCTCCCCTGACCACACACATGCGTGCACACACACACACATACACACGAGACATTTGCTTTGGAACAACCTAGAAACAGACACCAGCCCTGCCTTTTGGGGAACTCAAGTTCTAGGTGAGAATGGGGACACCTGCGTGGAGCTTGATCCGCAACTTCTAGGCTGGCAGAGACCCTGGGCGCTTTGCTGAAGGGCCCCGCTGGAGGTGTCCCACAGGCGAAAGTGCCCACTGACCTCCAGCAACTGTTAATGCCCTGGAAGGGAAACCACAAGTAACATCCACCCACGCCTGTTGACCTGCCCTTACCCACGCTCCCATTCACACCCACGCACGTTTGTTCTCCACACACAGCCCAAGGGAGGGTCATGTGGTTCAGTCTTCACTTATTTGCACGATGAAAGAGATCAAGGGTGTGGGGGATTCTAAGCCCTGTCTTTGAACTCTAGAAGGACTTGGTCCTCTGCACTTGGCTAGGCCTTTCACATTTGCATAGCAAATAAAGGAGTCCTTGGGGGTGGCTGGGGTGGTTCTATTTATACTGAACCGAGAAGTGCACTTTCGCCCTCACCCTGCTGGTCACCCTCAGTGACAGAGGAGGCCTCCTGCACTGCCCCATCCCCTGGGAGGTATGCTCTGAGCAGTTCAGGGAACCACCCAGTGACTCTGTGATAGTCCCCTTGGGTGAATTTACACAGGCCATAGAGGTAAAAAGCTCAGTACCCACCCCGTGCTGATTAAAGTGCCAAATACAGCGTCAGTGCCCTTCTGACCAAGGGTCCCTGAGAGATGTGAAATTACTGCCGCTGCCATGTACAGTGAGCCTCTGGTGGCTAATCGCAGCCTCTCCTCCAGAGCCAGTTCCTAGGGCTGCAGGTCCAGTCCTTGTGCTGGGCAGCCAGGCTCTTGAGGCTGCTGCAGTGCCCAGAACCAGCATCTCCACCTCCCAGCCCTCCGTGGCTCCCAGCTGCGGCTCTGCTGGGACCTGCCAGGAGCTCCGGTAAACCCACCGCAGGCCCATCCCATCAGCTGATCCTGAATGTCTAGAGTGCGTCTGGAGGTGTAGTCTGCCCATTTCCGGAGTCCTGCAGGCAACTCTGATGCGTGCCCGTGGTGAGAGCCCCAGCCTGGACTGGCCCAGGGCTGTGTGGCTGCTGTTTAGAAACTAGCACTAATTTACATAACTGCCCCTTTGGTTCCTAATGGAAGCTTGAACAAATTGAACTTGCTCTTTCCTGATGAGTGCGTCTCAGTGAAAATCATTACCTGTGTTGCTTCATGCACCTGTCTCTGTTGACTCACCTGATGCATCTTCGATATCTCTATGCTTCTGCTTCGCTCACCCCCCAAATGGGGGTGGGGAGTGGCGGGGGCCACAACTGAAATCTCAAGTTGCTGGGTCGAGCAGGTGGTGGCTGTGTTTAAGCTGGGATTACTCCAGGGTTTTGTGTGGCGCAGGCAGCTGAGGCCCTGGGATACGGGAGAGGTGGTTAGTTAGCATACTGGCGTCCTGTTCTCAGTGATTACATAAATGTTCTTGAAGGAGCTCTGGGCACAGCCATCCCCATGCTGGGTGATGCAGCATCCCTCTCTCTCCATGCTGTGACCGATGCCAGTCCTCCCCTGGGAGCCAGCCTCCATGGCCAAACACTCAGCCCAGACACAGTTCTCATCTGCATCCTTTGCTTCCCGTAGGGTAAAAACAAAGAAGGAAATGTCATCTGAAAGATCGTATGCAGTTTGCTCTATAATTCCAGGAGCTTCCCCACCACCCTTCTGCCTGCCAGCAAGCAGGAGAGGGATCCTCCAGGCCCAGCAGCCTCGCCCCTGCCCCCAGGCCAGAGGGTCAGCCTAGAGGCACAGAACAGAGGGCAACGCGGTCCCACCCAGGCTGGGCCAAGAGGACGGTTTCCAGTTCCATCTTTCATTAGGGTGCCCAGAGCACTCCACTGTGAATATAGAAAAGGGGCAAGCTGAGACAACAAGACGGCAGCAGCTGGCATTTTCTTTATTTCCAATCTGCAGGTTTATACCATTCCCGGTTTTCTTTCTGGAGTGAGACTTTCAGAGGTCCCAGGAGCTGTGTTCCTCAAGCCAGAAACTAGTCACTCACTTGGCTTTTCCTTTAAATGTCGTTTTTATACCAAAACAAAAAAACACAAAACCTGAAGAATGGAACAACTTTGTAAGACATAAAGAGAAGTCCTCCGTGTGGTCCTCTGCATTGCCAGTTGCTCTGCAGGTTGTATTACAGCTGACCAAGGGTTGTGTGGTGGCCCCTGCCTCCATGGGGGTGACGTTCCATGGAACTTCTCCCATCTCAGTCTCTTCTCACTGCCAGGATGCTGCTGGTCTTTTGTTTCCATTCTTCAGTTGTTGCACAGCAGGGACCTTCCACAGTGGATGCCACATGTGAGAGACAAAAATAAAATCAGTTCCGAAGTAAAAGGCCAGCTAGCAAGGGCAATGAACATTTATAGGTTTCCTTTCCTGGCTGTCTTCATCTCCTCCCATCTCCCCATGGAGGTGGGGAATGACAGCAGGTGTGTCACCTACCAGTGGAGACCACGGACTAGGTAGTTTGAGCAACTCCACCAGCCTCAGTACTCACTCAGTGTCCCAAGGTTCCAGTGCCATGTGAATGACACAGGGTAAAGGCTGGACCCTTGGCAGCCTTTTAAAAAGTGTTTTGTTTGTTTGTTTAATACCCGCCTTTGCCCAAGTTTCGCTCTAACCCAAGTTAGAGCTTGGCTAAATCTGTAACATCCTGAGTAGCTCACTAATTTTAACTACATTAGTTGAACGTAGTTGATACATCTGTGGCCTCGTTTCTATAAAAAGCACATTAGGCTATACCAAGCGCTGTCAGGGTATGACATGCTGACATAGATGTATTTAACTTAACATGAAAGTGTATATTGCGTATGAATGTGTGATATTTCTAATAAATATGTTTGTCTGATTATCGCTTTTAAAAAAAAACGATGACATATATTGATTCTATTTTTTTTTTTCAAAGCAGCAGGTTTACGCTGAATGTTAGCGGAGCAAAGCAACATCTTCACACCCGTGTCCCTTGTCAGTCACCATCCCCCACAGTGGCTGCTCTCTCGGGCCTTGCTGGAACTTTCCACGAGGGGCAGGGCCTCATGACATCTCTGGCCCCTTCTGTCCACAGCGGTCCTGTTAAGGCCACACATCACCCTCCTGGCCCTCACAGGGCGTTACCAAGCATGCCACATGCAGGGCTACGTATGTGAGAGAAGCCCCCTGAGGCCTGGGAGGTCACAGCAGGCTAAGCACTAAACGGGAAGGGGTTGATTTCTTTAGTTAAGAGGCAACGAGACACAGCATTCTCACCTGCTGGTTCTCTCTCTAAATGTTGGCGATCGCTGGAGCTAGACCGGGTTACAGCCAGGAACTAGAAACTCCTTCTGGGTCTCCCACATAGGAGATAGGTTGCAGGGATCCAACTACCTGAGCCATCGCCTGCTCAGTGTACGCTCCCGAGGCGTACACTAACAGGAAGCTGGAGTCAGGAGCCGGAGCTGGGTGTCCCAACTCACACACTGAGCTGGGAAGTAGGTGTCTTAACCATTATGCTAACACCAGTCCCAAGAATATAAATTTTATTTAGCAGGGGACATTGGTATGATGTGACACCAACACACTGAGTGCTGAGTCTGCAGATGGGAAGTGGCTCTTCAAGCATCTCCATTCACTCTTGGTGTCTTGGGCCACCGGCCCTGCCCACAGGACATGGGAGCAAGCTGCCTGCCTTAGAATCTTCTTCCTCTTCACTTTCCCAGCCATTTTCCCTTGCAGAGAATGCCTCTCCCTGTCTTCAGAATATTCTCTGATCAGGGCTTAGTATGCTGCCAGCCGGGAGAGAGCAGCTTGCATCCCTGCTGGACTGCCAAGTGACAAGAGAAGCTGTGTCCAGAAGGTACCAGGTCTCCTTGGGTTGACTTCAGCCTGTGCCCTCATGTGGATGCAGGCACGCATGCTCAGGCACACGCACACAAACAGGAGCTTTACAAATGACCTGTATCTTAGCTGTCACGAGAGGTTTCTGATCTGTGAGCCTGGACCTGCAGGCGAAGGAACATTGTTCAGCGACATTTGTGACTGAACAGCCACTTTCAAGGTAGGCATCCCTGAGTTTGACATGACCACTGGTAGCCCAAAGCCATCATCTTTCTTGACATCTGAGCATGTATTCCTCGTATAGCAGCAGAGGGAAAGCACCCCTAACGCCCCCATGAAGTGGTTGTAAATGGGAGAGAAGGAAGTATGTGGGGAGAGGCTCCCAGCAGCCTGAAGCACAGAGCAGCACTGGCTGTTCCCCTGTGGTCAGTGGTTAAGCAGCAGGGCCTGGACCTAATGCATAATCATGGCTGAGTAAATAGTCTTTGATTGATTAGTGGTGACATCCCACTGCAGCTCATTCCCATTCCAATGTGGGAATTTTCATTGAACTCGAGGGAACAAATGCCTCAGCATCCAGCCTGGGTCAGGGCAGCTGTGGTCAGTCTTGTGAACAGGCCTTTCTGGAATTTCACAGCTTGATGCTGAATGAGACAGATCCCGGGGAGAAACATGAAGCCTCACCTCCCCAAGGCCTAAGGGCATCATTATGTTCCCTTTTCTCTCAGCATTGTTTCCCTCTTTCTCTGCACAACTCACTTCTAGTAAATGAAATGTCAACATGTATCCAAACACACTCTCCGAGCCTTCTTCCAAACTCTCTGACTCTAGTCTAACTGCCCTCCTTCACTAAAACTTTTCAGTGACGTTTTTCTAGATTAGAAACATGCCAGGGCTTGGCACAATGGTTCCGTGGTTAAATCCTCACCTTGAAAGCACTGGGATCCCATATGGCCACCAGTTCCTGTCCCGGCTGCTCCACTTCCCATCCAGCTCCCTGCATGTAGCCTGGGAGAGCAGTGGAGGATAGCCTAAAGCCTTGGTACCCTCTACCTAGGTGGCAGAGCTGGAAGAAATTCCTGGCTCCTGGCTTTGGATTGGCTCATCTCTGGCCTTGTGGCCACTTGGGGAGTGAACCAGTGGATGAAAGATCTTTCTCTCTGTCCTCCTCCTCTCATTAAATCTGTCTTTCCAATAAAAACGAGTCTTAAAATATTATGCCATAAAAAGATTTGGCCTGGACATCTCAAAGAGTTGGCCAAAGAGTGCCACTGCCCCTCCCGCTTGTCCATCTGTGTTACTATTTATATCATTTTTGACACCATATCATTACTCTTATATCCAAAAGAAAAAAAATCAAAACAAAGTAGAACATGGGAAAGTTAGCCCCAGCTTTCTTTTGCTGTGACAAGTGGCCTCAGAAGGCTTGGGAAGCCTAATGCTAGGAAACACACCCAACTGTAGAGGAACCTTGCCGTGAGAAAAGCCAGGGGACTTCGCTGGCTCATCCAGCCACCACGCAAAGACCCAGGCACATCCTCCCAGCACTGCGACATTTCACCTCTTGACTCTGAGGAAGACAAGCCACATATAGCCCAGCAAGGCCCTGCAAGCTCATCTTAACTCCCACACACTTACCTGCCCACGATTGGAGGTGAGGGCCGGGGGAAGAGGGGAGGCAAGGTTGAGAAAAAGGGGGGTGTGTCTTGCTTACTGCCATTGCAGCTGATGGTCATAGACTTCCTAGGCAGCAGGAAGCAAGGCACATGTGACTCTCACAGCGTCTGTGAGTGCTCATTATGCCAGTGTCTCACAACATTGGGTTTGTTTTTGTTTGTTTTTGTTTTGAAAGTTGTAAAGACAGAGATATATTCCATCTGCTAATCCTTTCCCCCAAAAGGCTACCATGGCCAGAACTAGGCCAGTCAGGAGCTAGGAGCTTCTTCTGAGTCTCCAACACGGGTGCAGGTGCCCAAGGTCTTGTACCATCCTCTTCTGCTTTCCCAGGAGCATTATCAGGGAGCTGGGTCAGAAGTGGAACAGCAGGGACTCAACCTGGCACCCATATGGGATGCCAGCACCACAAGCTGAAGATAAGAGGGGCACTAGCCCCTCGCAGTGTTCAAAATTGTGTTTGTTTAGGGCACAACCTAGACCCAAAGTGCAAATACCTTCCACATCTAATGTTCAAGCCAGCCCTGGAGGAAAACTTGGTATTGGAGCGATGTAAGAAAATCTGTGGATGTTCCAGATGGTGGCATTTCCAAGGAAAATTCTTTCAAAAGAAAACTTGCTTTGTGTCCAAATCTTAACTCCGTAGAGGAGGAACAGGTAAAGTTCAGGTCTTTGAGGATCCAAAGAAACAATCCTTTTGAGCCCTCCCCACAGGATCAAGGGCTGGGGTTAAGGATCCCACACTATCATTCTACAGGCTGGGCTATACTGTTGACCAATGTACTCCCGTCCTTAACTGCTGTAACAAGTCATCACAAACTTAGCCTGACACAACACAAGATTGTTACTTTATAGCTCTGGAGCTTAAGCTTAAAAAGTCCAACGCCAGTCTTGCTGGGTGAAAAACCAAGACATGTGCAGGATTGGGGTTTTTCCGGGGTTGGGGATGCATGTGTGCTGAGAGGTCTAAAGGAGAATCTCTTCCTTGCCTTCTATGGTGTCTAGAGGCCCTTGGCAGCCCTGGGCCACCTTCTTCCACCTGCAGAGCCAGTGAACAGTCACATGTTCCTCTGGTTCTGTACAGGAGAGAAAAAGTTGAGAACTCACAGAGCAGAGTTTGAATCTTTGTAGATTCCCTAGTTACAATTCCCAAGTTATATTAGTCATGATCCTTTAGAAAAAAAAAAAAAAACAGAACTGATTGATTCAAGAGATAATAGATGAGATAACAGTGAATCCTATAGGGAACCAGCTCACGTGACTGGAGCATCCATATCATCTGTCAACCACAACTGGAGACCCAGGAAAACCACTGGTGTCAGGCACCGGAGAGCCAGAGGGCAAAGATTGCAGTCTCACGAATGAAGATCTGAGAAAGTCCGATCACCAAAAAATAGGAGGTAGGTGGTTCCCTCAGAGTCTAACCTGCCTTTGTTCCATTCAGGTCCTCAGTGGATGGGATGACGCCCACACTGGCAACCCTGGGTGGGGCAATGTGTGGTACTCACTTCACCAGAAATACCCTGCCAAATACACACTGTAGTTTAGCCAATTCTCTGGGCATCCCTTGACCCAGTGGACATCATCACACAAGCTGAAGAATCAGAATGGCCCAGTGCAAAGCTTCCTCATCCTGCCTTTGGGGAGGGAGGTGGGTACTGTTCGTACCAGAGTTGTTGGCAAGTCACTACCAGCTACTGGCAGGTTTCCCCAGATCAGTGCCCATCTCTGACCAGTCACTTGGGATGAAGATGCACATGACCATGCCTGCTGCTTACCAGCATTGCATCCTTCCCAAGGCAGCGGTAACCAGGCTGGGCCAGGTGCTGGCTGATCCTCAGACTTCTCTTAGACTATCCAGGCTTCGTGAATTCTAGTATCTTGTGCTACTGTAGCCTGAAGAACCCAGGGCCAGCAGAAGCCCCTGACTTGAAGGGCTTGGCACCCCAAGCCACCAAATCCCTTTGAACCAATGGACGAAACAAAATTAAGTGCTCTGCAACCACCCAGAACATCCTGACTTGTGAGTAGGGGGAGAGACAGGACCCACTATTCAGGCATAAAGCACCCCTCAACCTGAACAAGATCAGGGTTGTGTGAGTTTGGAATATTGCCAGGTGAGGGGGCACGGGAAAGAATGTCATGTGGGCGACCAGTGTGTATGTCACAGTGTGCCTGTTTCTTCATGGAGAAGCCACAATGATTCCTACCGAGCTACATGCCACCAGAGTTCTCAGAGCGTGCCAGAGTGGCCTGCCAGGCACAGTGCTGTCTAATTCTCTGTACAACCCAGAAGATGAGGCCCACAGGGTACCCAGTGGGATCAGCCATCTGGAAACCCAAATGGGCACTCCCAGGCTA